AGCTTGGACAAATGAATGTAATGCTGACTGTTGGCAGTATTCTATGCAGCGACTTTGCCATCAAGAGAATAGACGAACCGTTTATATCTGCGGACGACAATCCTAATGAATGGGCTGTGTAGGGAAGAGACGATTGTATTATATTTGCAGATTAGCGTATACCCAAATGTATTGATGCCACGCCTGTCGAATCCCGCCAAGGAGGTGCACCAGACATCTTTCTTAAGCTGCGTTATACCACCAAAGATTGATTCGGGCTCAGTACCTGCACTCGGTGACGTCGAGGGTAGATTTCGTGATCATCAAGATGGAAACAATGACACCGTAAAGGCCCAGGACTTCGGCGAAGATGAGGATCAGGACCATTCCTACGTATAGTCGCGGTTGCTGGTTGCTCGCCCGCACTACCTCAGGTTAGCCAACAGCACCCAACAAGAAATAAGATCATCGTCGAGATTGCGCTGCCAAAGAGCAAAGTTTTGTGTTGCGACAGTCGTCGCAGAGTGTCGGGACATACCGCCAGCATCGCCAATGATGCCAATGGCAAACCCAGCGGCTAATCCGCACAAGCCGACGGCCATGCCGGCCCCGAGCTGCAGGAAGCCGGTGTGGGCGGGCATCTTCTCCCTGATGCCATTGGACATGATGACGGCGGAGACGAGGCCGTATATGGAGAGGATCTGGGCCATGATGGAGCAAAGACTGCGCTTGTCAGCGGCACAATGTACTTGTTTTACATGTTATGCCAGCAAGATGCTGCAGCCGGGAGCCGCACGTACGTGTTCTGCATCAAACGTTCGGGTCGGAGCACGCCGCATGAGAAGATGGCAATGGACGACTTGGCCGTTCCGTAGGCGGCTCCGAAGGTGGTGAAGATGATGGCGAATGCGATGCCCATTGCTCCGAAGAAGGACTAGATATATGTGAGTGAGTGAATGCGAGAGTTGTCGATGGAAGAAGGAACTGACGGAGTACATGGGACTATCAAAGTCAGAATTAGCAGTGTGCTTTGGAGTTTGTGTCGGGGACTTTGTGTTCAAGGGAGGAGTGTACCAGCGCTCCATGGAGGCAAAGACTTGGCCGTCCATCTTGGTGTCAGGGTTATGGGAGTTTGTGATTTTTGCTTGGGGTTTGGGAAAGGATAATAGATGAGGGAAGTCGTTGCGGAAAAGTAGTTCAAGTATGACGCTGGTTATATTTGACATGTCTGCGGGAGGCATCCGAGGGGGAGTAAGCATACAGTCGTCCTCTGGTGGCTGCACTGTTGCCTGAATGGCGTCGCGTCAACTCGATTGGGATGCTACGTCGTTTTCAGGTGGAATACTATAGGCTAGTAGGATGGCTTACGGCGTGAGATTGTGCTGGGGATGGAAGACGTGTGTGTTGGCTAGGCAGACGTATTCGGGATGATGATGGTGCGCCTATGGGGGCGGCGGACGGTGGTTTGGGGGCTGAATGGGCAGAAGGATTAGAGGAGTGAAGAGCAGTGGCACCTTTTTGACGGAAACCTTGCGGTTTAATGAGGTTGAAGGGTTTTATTCATTTGATTCTGTTCTCGCATCACGCCATCGCAAAGTTCCCGACATTACGTCAACCAAAGCCGTATCGAGAGGCCGGCAGAACACTCAAGTGAGCAGCCATGTCGACCCTCCCCCCCAAATCTATGGTAATTTTAAGAGGAATATAGTACTGTTGACAGTTGCAAGAGACACCAAGCTCGTCATTGCTTCAGCCAAAAACGTGGCGTGCGAAAAAGTAGTCTGTGCTGCAGGGTAGGACAGCCACGTCGGACATGGTGAAGGTGGTCATTGGACTTTGTTTCTCCTTTCCTTTCCTTTCCTCTACTTCCTCTTAGTGTTCTATCACTGTAGTTGCCCTAGTCGGCGCAATATAAATTGGGAGTGCGTAGATTGACTGTCTTGCTGTGTTTGTGCTCAGTGGTTCCCCCTTTACGGCATCATCAAAACCGAGACATGGCCAGAATAATCAAAACATGATGTAAATAGAGTATTTCCTCCAGCGAATACCCAGGAACCATCTAGGTACACCGCAAATCTCATTCAACATGGCCTCGGGTGAACCTGGCGGCCCTTGACCCAGACAATCTTGGTGTTGCGGTCATCGCCGTTGTACACCCACTTCGCCACGATATTCTTCCAGTTGCACAAGTCCCACTCAAACAAATCTACATTTCCATGATCCTTGTGGTCCCCTTGTCTGTGGTCACCCACGACATGCAACCCCACAAGCTGCGCATCCCAGTCCTTGCCGACTTCAAACCCGCCGACTTTATCCTCCAAGCCGACCACCTTAGCGCCGCCCCTCGTGGCCAGATACAAGACCTGCGCAACAGAGAGGTTGACCTTTTCGCGTGTCTCCTCATCCGGGGCTTTCATGGCCAGGTGCCTGCTGACGAGGACGGCCTGCCTTGCCGCCTCCAGGATAGACGGACTATATCCGCCGCTCATGTCTGTCCCCAGCCCAACGTCGATCTTCCTGTCCCATAACCAGCGTACGCGAGCCTCGCCGCTCCCAAGAGCAGAGTTGCTGCAGGGGCAATGGGAGACCTTGGACTCGCGTTCACGAACAAGTCTGGCCTCGCCCTCACTCAAGTGCACAGAGTGCCCGAGAATCGTCTTGGGCGTCAGCAGACCGTGCGTATCGTATACCTTTGCGTACGATCCCGCACCTGGATAGAGGCAGGCAACGTCCTTTATCTCGAGAGGATTCTCAGCGATGTGTGTCTGTATCGGCAGATGCAGCTTGCGGTGCATCTCGGACAGCCCGTCCATGGCCTCGGGAGTGCAAGCCAGCGCGAACCGGGGCGTGAGAATGGGCGAAACAAGATCGTGCTTGGGGTCCAGGTTGTCGATACACTCAATCACCTCGCTGGTTCTGCGGAGGGCCTCCTCGCTCGATGCATCTCGGAGGCACTCGGGACCCAAGTCCCCGTCCCTGTCCATGCACACCCGGCCGATAAACGCCCGCTGGCCCAGATGGAAGCAGATCTTGGCCAGCCAACTCGTCGCAGCCACATGGGTAGTGGTGTAGTAGGCGGCCGTGGTGGTGCCGTGGGCCAGAGTCCGCCGCACGCACGCCGTGTACACTTGCTGCGCTACTTTCTCGTCGCTGAACCTCTCTTCGCAGGGGAAGACATATGTTTCCAGCCAGTGTAGGAGGGTCGATTCGCCAAACACGCCCACAATGGGGTACTGGGAGGCGTGGACGTGTGTATCTGGGCCATCTGTGCTTAGAGCGTGTGGAAGCGCGCCGCCCCGGGGGTGGTCTTTTCTTACCTATGAAGCCGGGAAAGAAGAATTGCCCGCGTTTGCAGGAGTAGATGTCTACGTCGTGCTCGTGCCAGCGTAGGCGGCACAGCAGCTGCTTCTTGGCTGTGTGGACATCCCCCGAGTCGTCGTCGATGCCGACAATCGTTCCTCGCTCGTCGACGGCAATTGCTGCGTCGAGAAAGAATTTCAGTTCTTCACGTGTACGGCTGTGTACAAAGTTGCCCAGCATGAGGCTCTTCCTTCTTGGCGGCTTTGAGGATGATTCCATGTTGTCCTTGATTTTCTTTTTTTTGCTTTTGAGTAGGTATACCTTGTCAGAGAACGATGCGTCTCGGTTGTCAGAGAAGGATTTTTCTTCGGTCTCTTAATGCAGACGGAGAATAAGAAGAAATAGGATCCGTGGTTGGCGAGATTGAAAAGTTGGACTAGGGGGGTTTATATTTTTTGACTTCACCACCGACATCGCTTACTGCTGTGCTGCGCTGAACATTCTTCCTCTTGGCTCTGCCACACATTGCTGTTAAGAGAAGAAACCCCAGGTCGTGCGTTGCAATGTATGTACTCACCTCTCGAGCGGTATTAGACGAGTGCAAGGGTGGCGAGTCAGAACACTGCCATGGAGAATGTCTCGGCCGGAATCCTCGACGCAACGATTTGACAACGAATCCAGACCCAGCCAGTCACCGAGATGTTGGCGAGCGGTCGATCTATTACGGAGTACTAGGTGCTCTTTGCATGTTTCACATGGGGGGTTCACACGAAACGGGAAAACGCAGCCAGCCACCGCCCAGCGACTTGCATGCAACCACCATCTGTCCCTCCCATCCTTGTTTTCTATGAGAGGGACTGAACTAGTTAATTAATAATGTAGTTGTACATGTGTCTTGTAGGTTCAGCCACTGGTAATGCGTGACCTGGCTGGTGGTTTCAGTCTGGACTCTGTGATGCTGGATGAGGCGAAAGGCTAGAGCTTCAAGCTGACCGGAAACCTGTCCGCGTCCCAGCATACAGTAACTAGAAAGGCGCCAGGTGGTTCTGTGCAAGACGGCTTATATCCGACGAGTAGACCTGTCAAAACAGCGTCTTTTACTCCATTGGAAAATCATGTGGCTGGCTGAACTGGCTACGACTCAGGCATGGCATGTTGACTGGTGGCGCTGACTTGCAGTGTCTGCCATGCACGTCACTCTCTTTGTAGGTTTGCCGATGCAAAGGCAACACACCAAGAATACTTGCCAATGTTGATGTCTCCTGTCTTCAGTTCAAAATGCTCAGTTATAGTCGGCTTCTTTTTGCGCAGCAGAGAAGAGAGGTTCAAATTGTGCCAACAGGAGATGTTGCTCTTTAACACCTGCCGTTTCGACGTGGGACTCTCGAAAACTCCCAATTACCGATTCTGGAATAACAGCTCCCCACTCTTAGCCGCTACTTAAGGACGGCCCGGTCCGTAGCGTCTTTTCTCTATCCCGCTCTTGCCTTTTCTCTTGCGTTTTGGCTCTTGTTGTTGCGGCGGTTATTAACCACAGGTTTTGCCTCAAAGTGTCGTTAGTATCTGAATATGTACAAGAAGGCCCTTTTATTTTGTTTAAAAGCTCTGGCAGCGTGTAGGGGCCAGCGTCCATCACCTAGAAGCACCTTTCGGAATTTGAACAATACCGCTTTGCCCCCGGGACCTTGGCCAATACCATTGTCAACCCAAAAGTATCCCTTTCACTCCAATTGAATAATATCCCCCTCAATAAGCTCGTTGAAGGCAGAACCCACCAAAGCATCCGTCATCTTGGCTGTAACGGGGTTACGGTATTGTCCAAGTCATCTTAGCAAGGCTATCCTTGGTAAAAGATAGTCAAAGTCCTATAGCTCTGCTCTGATAATCTCTGCACCCTGGAAAGCGAGCCAATGGATCTTCTTTTCTGCCTCCCTAGCGTTTCCTTCAGGATAGAGCTCTACTTGTAACTTTGTAAAAGTTTGACCATTTCAGACATGAGTGTTATTTCTTCGCCTTCCTGTAGCATGGCAGTATCCACTTGTTCAATATATAATTGAATCGCCAATAGTACCATCTTTGTGCCCAAAGCCGGCATCTTGGGGTGCCTTGGTCGCGGTTCTTGTTGCGGAAAGTCGGGAGCCCTCTTCACAGTACCCGAGGGCCGAAACTGCATTCTCCGTCCCCGCAGCCGTATGCCTAGAAGCATTTGGGTCATGGCATTTTTATTCATTGCCAATGGAACAGTCCAATCCATGGACACGATATTACGACTCGGACCTTGTTTCAATATAAACGCGCGGAGCGCCTCTATTGTAAGGCCACGGCGAAGAATACCTCGTACTGTAGGCATCCTTGTGTTGTCCCTGCCATTGACCTTGCCAGGCTCAACTACTTTAATAAGCTTTCTTTGAGAAAGAAATTTCTTCATAAAGTTAATTCTAGTAAAGCCCCATAAAAGACATTATATCAGTTGAGAATATTTAAAACCAGTGGTATTGTTCGTTGGGATCAGAATATTCCGCAGAGAATGCGTCACCCCTTCAATATGGTCAACAAAGAGACAAGCAATGTCATAAGTCGGGTAAATATTCCACGTCCAGCCAGTTCTATGATGGGCTGTGATTCAGCCTCCCAGGTTGGAATCGATAAATAATGGGGTCACGCATTGCACTATTTGAGCTATGCGTGCGCGAATGCAATACCTTGTACCTAGCGATGTCCCTTTTCGCATCTCTTCGAACATGGCAAGACTCTCGGCAGGAGGCCGATCTCGCTGGATGCTAGGGAGGAGCTTGTATCGATCTCTCTTCTGATCTCTCTTTTGAATCTCGGGCTCCGTATCGTCAGAATACGCATTTTCGTCTGAAATTGATTGCTGGCATAGTGCGTAGAGCTGCTGGAACTTATTGCTTGTATATGTGCGCAGTAGTTGGATGCCCAACACCGCCAGATCATGGGTAACTGAGTCCTCAAACTCCTGTTCCTCTTGACTAGGGCTCGTGTCACCGAAACGCAGGATAATAGATCCAGAGAAAGCATGATTTGCGAAATAGTCATTCTGCGCCGAGTTTCGCTTGAAGATGAGACTCGTTCGTGTTGTTGGCTGCTGAGGCGTTATACAATCTCAACACCCGCAAGACTGCTGGAAGCGGGCAGTGTACATACGGGCGGAGAGTTGGCATGTTTAGTATGTGGTCCCATTGTTCATTGTTGTATCAACTTTGCTCGGAGGGAACTGCCCTTTCTACTCGGAAGTAGATGCGTGCATCGGATGACGCTGCATCACTCATCCACGCGTGACTACGAGCCATTGGGCTTAGAAAACAGCCATCGACGGATAAATAACAGTCATTTAGACTTCCACCCGGATCCAAGGTCAAAGATACCCGATCACACGGTGCCAGTTTCTGGACACGGACTGCCCGCATAGATGTCGAGTTGCCCGACAAGACGCAAAAGGCTTACCGGCGAATTGGGTATGAGCATGCTCCGCGGCGAGTGCAAAGGGGCAAAAGTCATCCGCAAGTACACTCCTGATGGCATTCCTCGCCCGGTCGCTTGAGGCTCCTCAGGTCGGACCCCAATACGTATTTCTTCTTGTCCGAGTTCATGGGCATGACTCAGGAACTACCAGACATCCGCAAGTTCTCGGCCATGCTTGCTAAGCTCCACCGTGACAGTATGGTTGACAAGGATGCCCCGAAGGAGTTCGGGTTCCATGTCATGACGCACGAAGGTACCATGTACCAAGATCTTTCTTGGTGCAAGTCATGGGAGGAGATGTATACGCGTCGATTCCAATCCTTTGTTGACCAAGAACGAGTTTCCCAAGGCCCCAGTAAAGAACTTGACCAGATCCTGCCGGGATTTATAAGCAAGGTCATCCCTCGTCTGCTACGCCCTCTCGAAACCCACGGTAGGACCATCAGACCTGTTGCATTACATGGAGATGTCTGGTATGGAAACCTAGCTGTAGACGCAACCACAGGGGAGCCAGTGTACTTTGATCCATCAGTCTTCTGGGGCCATAATGAGTGTAAGCGTCCGACTCTTACATTCCATATCCCGTATCGCTAGCTTGCACTCATATCATATAGATGACGTTGGAAGCATGGGTACCCCCCGTTACGGACTTGGCCGGGACTGGATCGTAGAATACCACAAGTTCTTCCCAGTTTCAGCCCCAGAAGAAGATCATGAGGCTAGAAACGCCCTTTACGCCATGTAAGCCATGCGAAGATGTCGCAACGCGTCAGGTAGCTGCTGACTAGTCAAAAAGAAGTGGGCACTTCTGTGCTTCAACGCTATATCCAAACAACAAGACCTTGCGCAAGATGTAGGACATGTCACACCCTATCGAGGAATCTGTACTAATATACAGTATTCACAGGGCGATTGAAGAGATGAAACGACTACTCCAAGCTTACCCCCACGGATACCAGGGTGAGTAATGAAGAAAGGGAATATGTGGTCAAGCGCAGCAGAGAAGAGATGATGGGCATGAGGAATATTGGATAATAGCACAAGAGCTCGGTGAAAGCGAGCCCGTTGCAAACGCTGAACAGCTAAATACGTAAAGATCAATGAACAAAACCGGCTCATCTTTACATTCCACCCACTGCTTGAAGTAATCCCAAGCCGAGACCCGACATTCCGCGTTCCGCCGAAGCAGTGGCTCGGCTCTATACCCTCAGCATGAAAGAGTATGCCACGTCGAGCCCTGACGAAATGTTTGGGTTCCATGTACCCACCTACAACGGGACGCTTCCGCAGGACAATACTTGGACCAAGCCCTGGAAAGAATTCCACGTTGCGGGAATGGAGCGGATGCTAGCTCTAGAGGAAGAAGCAAGAGAACCGAGTGACGAACTAAAGAGACTTTCGGAACCCTTCCTCAGAAGGGTCATCCCAAGACTTCTCGATCCCCTGGAAACGAATGGTACAAGTATCAAGCCTGTGCTTCTTCATGGCGATTTGTGGCTGGGAAACGTCTCATGCCAGAAGGCGTCTGAAAATAAAGATCCGCTGTTGTTCGATGCTGCAGCTTTCTGGGGCCACAACGAGTGTCAGTTCCAATTTCGCATCTTCTCCTTTGAACCTTCTTTCCATCCAAAACAACCAAACTGGGTGTTATCCCTTTTAAAGTACGCACGCTGATGGTGGTGATTTAGACGAGCTTGCTACTTTACGTCCTTTGGCGGATGATTGGGCCAAAGAGTGTTATAGAGCCTACCACGAGCTCGTTCCAAGATCCGAACCCGAGGAAGACTGGGATGCCCGTAATGCCCTTTATGCAACGGCCGTTTGTTTCACCGGGAGCTACGCAATCCTTGTAAGTGACTAGCTTTCTCAGGCGCGTCATCGTCCACGACTCGGCACTATACCCGCATTAACCTCACTTCAGAGAGACGTAGGTCAATTTCTGATTCCAGGATGGACATTTCCTAATCGTTTGATAGGTTGATTGACGAGATGCGAAAGCTGGTGGAGCGGTTTGCATGAGCTCGGAGAATGTGCCATACTTGGCTAGAATAGCATCAATTCATGGTTTTTGACACTCTTTGACAATCTGTGGCTGATGAATTTACCGTAAAGAGTGTGACGACCTGAAGACGTAGTTTGCAGGCGAGCGTCGTCCATATGAGCGTATCAAGCTATCTATAGATCTAATGGAGATAATCAAACACCGATAGAAGAAAAAAAAATTAATTTTTTTCTTCTATCGGTGTTTGAAGTTGAAATTTTGGGGTTGAGTGTAGGTCCCAGCTTTGAGACAACGAGAAGCTTTGTTACTCGCTGACGACAAATGTCCACGTTAATGACCCAAGTTTGAGGTGAAAATACAACACCTATCCGGTATCTACACCTTTGTAAACAGGCGCCACTTTGCCAAGTGAAGCTTGCAGGCAACAAAAAAGAGAGTGCCAACACCGAGCATGACACCGCCAAAGACCTGCAGCTGCCAATAGCTGCCTCCTGCAGCCGTGATGAGGCCGCCGCCAATGGGACCCCCCATCAAGCCGGCGATGGACACGAACGCGTAAATGGCTCCAGAACGTGTGCCGATATCGCGAATGTCGGTTATCTGAGCTATAAGCGCAGGGGCCAACGCTGTATATGTGCCAGAACTGAAGCCGAAGAGGGCGGAGAATGCAATGGCAGTTGCACTGCTGTGGCCAGGAAGCCAGAGAGCCAGAGTGAAAATGGTTGAAAGGCAAGCGGCGAGGATTGAGATGTTGTAGTTGCCTGCTCTATCAGCAACATGCCCGGAAATAATACGACCGACTCCACTGTAGAATACACGAGTTAGTTCCTCAACACGTTCTGCACAACTGTAGCGGGTGAAATGTGTGAACACTGGACACGGTGCGGCCCATCTGTTGGTGATGTTTGGTACTTGCCTGGCAGCATTGAATATCGAAACAAGATACCCAGCCAGAGATGTAGACATGCCCACATGAACTCCATACGTTACCATGAAGATGATGGGGATGAACATGCCCATGGAGTAGAAGAACCCAGCCAGCGCTGTAAGTGAAAAGGCCGGATCCTTGAACGCTCGGAAAAAGTCCCACGGGCCGGCATCTTGTGGTTGAGGAGCCAGCCGCGACTTGACGGTGAGATTTGTGATGATGAGCAGCCCGAACATGAGGAATGCACACGTACGCATGGTCCAGCCGTATCCAATTTGGTTCATCAACCGATCGACCATGATTGGCATGACGGTCCCCCCCAAGCTTGACCCGCTGGTCGTGATGCCCATTGCCAGGGCTCTTCGGCTCCGGAACCAGGTCGCGACGCAAGCGAAACTAGGCTGCAGGATCATGCTTGCGCCGATCGGGCTGCAGATGGATTGTGACAGGATGAACTGGTAATATTTGGACGAGATGGACGCCATCATCAAGCCGAAGACGTGCAGAAAGGTACCGACCAGAAGCAGACTACGGGGGCCAAAGTGGTCGAAGAGCTTTCCAACAAAGGGAGTCTTTCGCCAAGCAAAGTGGTTAGCTGCAAACACCTAAGACGTGGAGAATACTACAGCATCCATGGCATGAGGTCACTTACGGAGATGAATAGCACACACGTGTTAAGAGACGATATCCACGACACTGTGCTCGGCGAGAAGGATCTCAGCTGATGGGTCTCGTAGTATGCCTGGAACACGCCAACGCCTGTAACAGAACCATGAGTGCCGGGTCTTTTGATGATCTCCAAGATTCACAGCCGAAGACTTACAGTTTGTCCAACCAAAGCTGCAAAATAGTCCAAAGAATGCTCCCAGAACGACTAGCCATGCCTGCGCACTCCCGTCTGGGAACGTATCGGGAACCCCAGCCTTCTCCTCATCATGAGACCGTCCTTGAGACTCTTCCTCACTGGAGTTGGCTGTTTGACCTCTCTCTCTCATATCGTAGTTTTGTAACCTTTCGCGGACAGAACTGTTGGACTAATGTGGGAGGAAATGGACATGGATGATGGGGGGTGGTGAGGCACAGCTCAAGTTACGACTGCACACAATAAATACTCAAACAACCATGCCCCCACTGCCTGGAGTCCGCGGTATAAATTTCTGAGCCAGCGGGGGTCCGAGGCCAGTACATACTGCCGATTTGGCCGGCGTCGGCATACATGCATCGCCGTGGTGTTGAGGATTGACTCACTTACACTAACGGCTCGGAGCCCCACGGAGGTCCGCGGTGGTCCGGTCCATGTGAATGGAACTCAATTCCGTCAAACTCGCCTCGAATTCTCGGGCGTCGTCTTGTACGTTAACCTTGACCCTTTTCCAGCGGCCAGCAGGCGTGCTCTCAAGTCGACCCTCGCAAGTATGAAGCGCTTACATTCGGATATCGAGCCGCCGAGACGGAGTCCCTGGCAACAACCCGCGTCGTGCATCTTCTGCCGACAAAGAAAGATCCGGTGCGACAAGACGCGACCTTGCTCCAACTGCTCAACTCGGGGGATTTCCTGCAATTATGCTTCATGTGCGTCGGTATCATTGTGTTTTCCAAGACTGTTTGCGTAGTATTGTTGCCTTTTGCCATCTGCATCTTGTATTGTCCAGCGGTAGATGGCCGGGAACCGCCTACTTATCACTCGACAGGTTCGAATGCGGAATTGGCAAGATCCAAGCCAACTGAAGGTCTTGTAACTGAGAGAATTTTGTCTGTGGAAAGGTGTGGCCACCTATACACGCATACTTTGGTGCATTAGAGCACATACTGAACACTAACAGGAACATCGCCATTCCCCAGCATGGCAACGACAGGTTGCAGCCCCGACGCAACTCACAGAACCCAGATGATGACGCTCTCAAAGGTGAGGCGAATGGCATGTGGGCTCACCTTGAGGAGGTTTCCTCTACGCCTCGCGCCAATACCGAAGAGCTGGGCCAAGGGGGGTCAGCGACATCGACGTCGCTCCGAGGCAATCCTCCGTCGGGCGGCGAAGATATCGGCGCACTGATTGTGCAGCTACCCAATATCTACACGGCGCGCTTGCTTCTCCAGCACTACATCCAGACCGTAGATATCCTTCATCGAGAGCTGCACGCCCCATCTACTCGCGCCCTTCTGGAAACGACGTATACTCAATTGTCGAATTCGCACCCTATACCGCGGGAGGTCCTCGCCTTGTTCTTCGGTATTTTCTCCTCCAGTGCCTTTCACATCTGTTCTGGACACTCGCACTCGCACTCGCGATGCAAGGAGCTACAGAGCACAACTGCGTTACACGAAACCTGGATGAATATTGCCTTGGATCTGCTCCTGCAGAAAGGTCTAATTGTGTCTAGAACCGTCCTTTCGTTGCAAGCGTTGTGCATCATCATCTACTTGATATTGGACTCAGAGGGCCAGACTCCGACTTACAATACCCTCAGAGGTATCGCTCATACAAAGGCTTTGCAAATGAAGCTTCACCTTCTTGACGCCGGAAATAAGCTCCCAGATGAGGATGTAATTCAGGTCGAGATCAAGCGTCGGCTGTGGTGGTGCCTCGCTTGCACTGATTGGTGAGGCTGGATGCAATAGAGCTGCAGGGACAAACACAACCACTACTAACGGATCGTCTAGGGCTGTCGCGACTGTCCCTGGGCCTCAAGAAGGAACGTATTCTTTCAACCCGAAGCAGTTTGGCGTAAAATATCCGTTGAACTTGGACGACGAGGATCTTCGGCCAGGCATGGGACCCGTCGAGGGACGGCCGGCTCACGAGCCAACATCCATGTCATTCTTTATAGAGAAAATCCGGTTTGCGGAGCTGAGCCGCGATGTGTTGGACAGTATACAGGAGTCGCAAGTCTCAATTCACCCAAGTAGCCACGACCTGGCCATCCAATCGAGCAATCGTTACCAGGCCTTCATAGATGAAATGCCCTGGTTTCTCCGGCCTGGAGAGGACACAGGAGATCAAATGACCACGCTCTTGGAGCACCGGCCTTACATATTCCGACAGAAGTATGTCTTGCTGCATGGAATCTATTCTCGGATGGGCAGACTCCATAGGCCATTCATTGCACGAAGCATGTACGAGCCGAGGTTCGCCTCGTCACGCGCTGTAGCCATCAACTGTGCCAAGCAACAGGTGAAGCTCTATCGCGCTACTGAGCCCGGAGATCTCTGTCCGTATGTTCGCTCCCACAGCATTGACCAGCACGTTTTTGGAGGGTTGGTGCTTCTGGCCGTTGACATCATGGCGAATAAGAATGAAAGCGGAGTGGAAAGCCGGGTGAGGGAACTGATGGAGACTGCGGCCATGATTAAGCGGAAGCAGCAGGCTTTCAACCCTTCCAACGTGACGGTTGTTGTTGCCATCGACAAACTCATTGATGTCTTGCAGACGATGGGAGCGGCGGAGGGTGAGGGTGACCAACAGGCAGGTCTGGAGGCAGACAAGACTATCACAAGGACCGCAGGGCCCGTTTGTAGGCCTATGTCATGTGAGAACGCAGAAGCCCGGGGATTCGATCCGGGTAATATGTTTCTGCCGACCTTTGTCAATCAAGATATGGAGGAGTTGTGGGAGGAGCTGCTGAGTGGTGTCTCCTCGGAAAATGCCTTTAACGCATTATGTATGTAGTTGCGTCTATCAAAAAGCCTCGCAGTGAGTAGACTGTTTATTCCTCATTAATAGCAATAAACACAGAAGTAACGTGTCAGGAAAACCTAACAGCGTGGGGGATTGCCTCCGAGGCTATTCGTCGAAAATGATGCTCATGATTTAGTTTGGGCAACCTCGGGATTTTCCCATGTGTAGGCCTATATATCAATAATCATTCAGGGAGAACTTGTAAGCCTCACCTTAAGGTGCGGCTGGCCGACTTGTCTCGCACGCCAGCTCCAGGTTCGCAAATTGGACGGTAATCTCCCCTGTTACAGTTTCGCGGCTATGGTGGCTTGCCATCCTAAATTACCAACACTCACTCCGTAGATTCCTACCATCACACAACTTGCTCGAGACCGCTGGTCTTTCTGCGCCGGCGACTGTTTGATAGTGCATGCCCTATATTAAGCTAGACTGAGCGACATTAAGCTAGTCAAAGCATTTTGGTTTGTTACATATATTAGCTGTCAATGCAGCGACTCTCCCTGGTGCATGTCAGCGAGTAGGGGAATCCAGATGCATGTCTGGCAGTAAGCTGTCACCAATAATAATAGCATATGTATTGAGAGCCAGCCTTGTAATTGAAAACCTCAATCAGGCGTCTAGATCAAGTGGATTGCTGCACCAAGCTGTTGCCGCTGGCACGCAGTCGGAAAACGTGGTCACCAGGGCCGGCATCACGAGGTAAGAAGAGCCCTGTGCGGAACTGGCATCGAACAATGAGATTTCTGATTCGAGAGGTTGATGTTTCGCAATGTTGAGACGAAGGTGGTCACGGTGCTAAATTCGGACAAATCTGATACTCGTGTGACGTGTCAGATGGCGTACTAGGGGTTTGATCTGTTTTAGCATGAAAGGCGTTGAGCGCTAGGATACTTACTGTTAAAGTGTCTGTTACCCTTTTTGGAATATTAGATAGATCAATAAGCAAGCAACTTGAGGCGTACGCGGGTCTGAAAAGGCTCGGTGATGGTGATGGACTGGTTGTTTGCTGGGCGCGGTGTCTTATGGCGGGTTCTAGGAAGTAAGTGAGCAGAGGCACCCGCCAACTGGTTGATCCATCGCATTGCAATCATACCGTACTCGGAACTCTATATATGTTCTGATATACGGAGTACTGCGCGAAGACACCGGATGGCCTTCGGCTGCGTCTTTTCTCTGATGTTGCGATAAACATTCGCTAGATCAAGCCGCATGTTGTTGATCTGCCGCGTGGCCATGTCCACTCCTAAAATCAAGGGGAGGAAGGAGCACACAACGGGACTTGCCTTGTTCATCCATCATCATTCAACGTCGCAAACAGTTGTCGATCACATCAACCTCCAAACCTCCAATTTGGAGGCGTCAAGTGCAGATAGTCGAACATTGACATCTTTAATGACGCCAGAGACGGCACCCGCCGCAACATGCCAGTGCCTAGACGCCCCAGGGCCAATGGACGCTATCTGGCGCTGAGGAGATGGGACGTGGCGTTTTGGTCGATTGGCGAATGCCCCAAGTGAAACGAGCATGGCACGAGCTGAGCACCATGCTATTTACCCGCGGGCCAAGGACTCCAGCTATTCTTGGCAACAGCAACAACCCTCCCTGGCCCCGAACATCCGACTGCTTCGCTGCGTCGTACCTCTACAGCATCCTGACGTCGGCTGCTGGTTCCAAACGTCCTGACACCACCGTGGAAAACGAAAGCAAGGCAAACAGTACAGACGTCATGTCAGTCATGCAATCAATGCACGAAGTTGAACAACTGGTGTGAATCGCTCAGGCGAATGAGCGCTGAGCTAACCAAGTCTTTCGTGCCTCCTCGGGCTTGGCATCACGACATATCCACTCTGCTGGTTCTACGGAGTACCATCTCTTGCCGGCCAAGTTTTACATGGGTGTAGGCCGCGCGTCTCGGTAATCAGGGGCTCCATGGGCTGGACCCTGGAACCCCCCGCAGGATCTCACTCGTTGACAGTTCCTCAACACGGCATTGTTCTTCCCGTTCCCCTTGTGGCGATGTCTGGTTCATGGCTGGCCTTGGCGGTACCACCAATCTCCACGTTGCGTGGGAATTCTGACGAGGCCAAAAATGGCATCCTCCCAACGAGAGCTACTAATGTATCATGAGCCGCAGGCATCGGTCTCCGTGGCTTGGGGCATTTGTGTATTAGCTAGACATTCGTTCTGATTCCTCATGTTCTGTTGCTCTATCAGCAGACTTGCGTCTCATTGCTGTTTTCTCGAGAGCCTCGCCATTCATTTCTCCAGTGCCCTTCCTTTCAGCCTGCCTAAACCCCTGCCTGAATCTCAACTTCTTTTAAAAGATCACGCACAACGCCACGAGTAGGCGCAGGCACCCATTGTCCCGAAATAGCCGTCCTATTCCCCAACTTCGACGATCTGTACTGTCGGCTGCATGCGACGGCACAAGGTAGCGTCTCGAAAACACCGACGAGATTACGAATCCCAGGGCCCACTGAGCCACAATTGCCGATAGCACCGCGCAAGGGACTACGCTCAAACAAAGTTCGGGCATTACTATACCGGCTGTTTTTCTTCCGTGAGGCTCGAAGCCAACATTGTAGCCCGATAAAGGGGGCAGGACAGGTCGGTTGAGTGGCAACTTTTGCGTCTCGAACTTGCGTAATCGACGCCAGAACTTTGGGCGGGGGGTCAAGCACTATTCCATCTCACGACACGACTTTATACTTGGTGATATTTATTCACAGAGCGCGACCCACGTATGCCATATGCAAAATAATCAATCAATGCAGCATACATATACACAGTCAATATGGACATAAAAATGAAACTCCTTACTTTCACCGCTCTTCTATCATATGTCCATGGTCTGTCAATACCAGATCGGCAAGATGGATCGCCTCGGGTGGTTGGCTTGCCGCTACATCGCGGTCAGATTGGAGACCCTGTCACACACGATAGGAACAGGATGCGGAAAAGAGATGGCACCGTCAATGCAACAATCGATAACTTGGTACGGTATCCTTTGCAATTGACACTCACTTGCCATCGTAACTCACACATTCACAGCAAAGTTTGTACTTCCTAAACGCTTCACTTGGAACTCCGCCACAAAGTGTACGATTACACATAGACACTGGAAGCAGTGATTTGTGGGTTAACACACCAAGTTCTCGGCTCTGCTCGATGAGGAAAAAGCCTTGCGCCGAATCTCTCGTGTACACAGCCAATTCTTCGTCAACGTACAAGTATGTCAGCAATAACTTCAACATCTCCTACGTCGACGGATCAGGCGCAGCAGGAGACTATGTCACAGACACAATAAGCTTCTCCGGGGTGAAAATAGCCTCATTTCAATTTGGAGTTGGCTATGAGAGCACCTCACAGCAGAACGTACTAGGGATAGGGTATCCTAGTAATGAGGTTCAAGTAGTGCGATCGGGACTCAAACCTTACGACAACTTGCCAGCAAAGATGGCCGCCGACGGACTAATCGCGTCTAGTGCATACAGCCTGTGGCTGAACGACTTGGATTCTTCAACCGGCGAGGTTCTATTTGGCGGTGTTGATAAGGATCGGTATCAGGGGAGCTTGATCAGTCTGCCCATTCAGAAGGTCAGCAATGCTTACAACGAGTTCTTTATCACCATGACCAGTCTCGATATCGGATCCAAAAATATTGGCAAAAATATGGCATTGGCTGTGCTTCTCGACTCGGGCAGCTCATTAACATACCTGCCCGACTCAATGGTGGAGAGCATTTACAACATGGTCGAGGCGTCGTACGAACAATCTCAAGGTGCTGCTTTCGTTAATTGCTCTCTGCAGAACAAAATTGCCTCCATGACGTTCAATTTTAGTTCGCCGGCATCTGTTACTGTGCCTATGAACGAAATGCTCATCAATGTGTCTGACACGGCGGGCGAGCAGCTGACTTTCGATAACGGCGAACCAGCCTGTCTGTTTGGCATCTTGCCAGCCGGAAGATCGTCTTCTGTCTTGGGCGACACTTTCCTCCGTAGTGCCTACGTGGTCTACGATACAGATAACAATGAAATTTCGCTAGCGAATACCAGGTTCAACGTCACGACATCCAACAAGGTTGAAATCAATAGTAATTCAGCCGTACCATATGCAACCAAAGCCAGCAACCCCATCACAGCGACCTCTGGAATACCTGGAGGGGTCAGCGTTAAGGGCAGCACACAGCAGCCAGGCAACGCGGCGATTAGTCTCGCCCCATCATTAACAGTGGTTTTTGTATGCATGATGGCAGGGATTCTGATTTGAACCGTGGATTCTTGCGGCACAGTTGATATATACATGCGCTTGATTTGGGGCCTGAGATCTAAATATAGACAGGTTGGTGCATTGCGATGGCGTTTAGGCTTGGATATGGCTTATGGGCATGGGATGAAACCAATCGTTAGATGATATAACTACCATATGGCTAAGATTTGCAACACATACTTTCGCATAGATTACTCATCTGCGTCTCAAAACCCCAAACACAAGAGCATGTCTCTCACAACATCTTTATGGCCGCCGGACCGTGGCGCCGACTTCCATGCCGGCCGCTCTGCCCCGGGCCCACCCCGGGCCTGCCCCTCACCGGCGGCCAAAGTCGGCAAGTTGTGGACTCTCCGGGCCATTTAGAATGCGGTCGGCCGATATGATGCGACTTTTCTTTGAGACGTATACTTGCATAATGACCTCGCGCCTCATCCTTCCTTATTTCCAACTATTCCCGACCCGCGAAACAGCACGGCAGCAAAGGCGTCCTGCCAGCCCGACCTGCCGTGGGAGTGCATAAATTAGTCGTGGGAAAGTATCTGGATGCACCGGTCCCGAACGCCCATTTGTCACGGACATGTCAACGTTGTCGCCGGTATCAATCTGAAGCCCTTTTTAAAGGGGGGCAGGCGCCTTGCCATCTCGGACGACAAAACGGACACTCGTGGGTGTCGACTTGGAAACTAGTGGAGGGTACGTGACGTTTTTCGTAGACGAGGCGAGATGGATAAAAGTGCAATTCGCGTTTCACAGATGATGTCATCATTGGGATCATTTATACTTTCTCGCCGAGAGGGGATTCTCCAGCTGACCTACCCACATGAGTTGGGAATAAAGATACTTTACACAAGACCGCGTCAAGGGTCTCCCTGCCTACATACGCCAAAACGCGCCCTCTATTTCCGGTAAACAAACACCACACAGCCGTAGCTTGCGCCCCGACACCATCCCCGTCAGATAAGAAGACGTGATTTTCATACAATGCGCAGTCATATTCCTTCCTGGCCACAGACGAGAGGACGTCAAGACCCAGACATATCCGTCTGCCACGCCGCGGACTCGTTCCAAGACTCCCAGCCCGCCGTTGTTTCGTCAATGCCAGCCATTGTGAACAATGCTTCCGTGACGGATGAGGTGAACAACGTGTCCTGCATAGATTGCATTTGCGCGGCTTGCCACATCTGAGGGAACATTCTTTCCTGGAAGACCCTGAGATCGAACCTGTTCTCTTCGGGAGTGTTGCCCAGCCCAGGCGGCGAGGTGTGACTACTTCCTGATAGAGGATCTGAGCCGCCTGCGCGATAAGCTGGTGAAGACGTTGACGAGTTCGTCCGGTCTGGCAAGATGAAAGATGCATCTCCCAGCGGATTCCGCATATCGACTCCAGGGGCAGCGCCAAACGCGGTTGCCTGATTTCCATTGCCTGGCGTCTCATCCGCCTGGCCGTGCATCGTGGTACCCACGAGTCCGACAGAGGGGCTTGCACTCGGAGACATCCTCTTTCTCTTGTGTTCCGTTCTGTCTCTTGGTCCAGCGCCGACATTCCGAGTTACTGCACCGAGAATCGGCTGGAAACAATCGGAATTGATAAGCTCCCTCACGACAGGTTCGGGCCCTCTCGACGTTAATGGGGGGAGGCCCTTGTCTAGTTTTAAATGGCCTGGCAGAATTTTGCCCTGTGGGTTGTTCAGTGGGAGCCTTCCGGGCAGAACAGGCATCACTTTGGAATGTTTCGATATCGAACTGCGCGAGATTAATGGAATATTGGAGTTGTTGGCGCCGCCAAAGATTGAGCGGTACTTTTCCAAGTTCGGGAACCCCAGCACGGATGCGAGCCCGTTCCTTTCAATATCCGAACAGGCTTGCTGAAGAAAAGCGCAAGTGACTTCGTGATTTCGACCAATCGCCTCCATTGCCTGAATAATAATTTCAAGATTTGACTTGTCCAGCGGTGTTAGACCAGACTGGGGATTCAACTTGGCCAAATAGACGTATACCGTTGTAGAGCAGTACAGCGACAACGCACAAAGAGGACTTTTCTGTGAAAGGCGTCAACATCCGTGGGGGAAAAAAAGGGGGAGGAGGTCATGGCCTAAGTGGTTCGATTGAGTGAGCGAGTAATACTTACAAAGATAGAGGTAGAATGAGACGACATTTTTACAATGTTCACAATCTCCTCTGCCGACGTCCTCAGTCGACAGAGGCTTGTTCGCTTTACATTTTCACCTAGATCGTGAAGGTTTGCTTTCTCTAAAGCTGCGTGATGAAGAATGATGACAGCGGCGTGCAGGTTGAGGTTCATATGAATAGCCGCTGGATCTCTCAACGCCCTCGGTAGGCGGAATCTCGCAGGTAGAAACATGAAGATGCTTGATAACTGATTATCTAGATCACGGTGCCTCTTCCAAAACGGGCCCTCCATCACATCCTCGGGGTTGTCGGTAGGCTTGGATCGGTGCACGTGTTTGAGAATTACTCGGCAAATCGAGCACACGACGAGTGTACCGGCAAAGGAGCTGAAGGATGCTCCGGAGAAAATCTCGTCCAGAAATGGACTAACTTCCTCCTTGCCAGAGGAAAAGGCTTCTTCTGACGCAGGTAGACGCGTCATTACCTAGAGACTGTTAGCTCGTGTCGACTAGAAGGCGATTCGCTGACGCAGACGTCCTTACATCATCGGGATTTATTAATGCCGGCCAACCTGTGGATATACTGGCATGAGAGTCGATGGCAAAGGCGCCCCAAAACACTCTCCTCCTTTCCTCCAGCTCCTCCCACGTTGAATGCGGACCGAGCGCCGGAGGCAAATCATCGCGCGCACCGTCAAGCCGGTCCAAGCCCATCATTTGGCACAGTCGCACAGCTTTGGCGCAGCTTGTAGAGGCTCTCGTAAAGAGCATACATTTGGCCTCGAAAGCAGCGACCAGGCACAGGGCCTGAGCATGAGCAATTGTGATGAAATGCTCCCCGTGGTCCTACATGCGTCGTCATCAGTTGATATGCGTGCTACAATACCTCACCCAGAAGCGGCTTCTTCTCACCTTCATCTCATCAGCCTCGATATACTGACGAGCTCGTTGATTAAACACTTGGGAATACTGGTCATATCTGGCATGCCCGTTGGCGGCCATGGCCCATATGGCATACTGCAGGCTCATGGGCGTTTTTCGCAACGGCCCTGCATAAAATGACCGGTAGTACCTTCCAGAATGTATGATTGGGATGAAGTGATATGGAACGAGGAAGAATGTGTTATTGCTGGGAATGTTAGCCGCACAAGTTCATGAGGATGCATGGCAGGGACCATGGACAGCATACAGGTCTTCTTGGACTTCAAGGGGCGGCAACGTCTCCGAATAGCCTAGCCCTATGAGCGAGCCGTCACCCATAAACGTGTCCTCCTGGGTTGCAGAAAAGTCGGGAAAGGAAAAGGCAGTCCCTTTTGGTTGCTGAGAATCAGCGGCATCACTTCCCGTAGGTCCGCTTTCAAAGGTGAAGTCTCCTTGCCAAAGCGGCGGGTCGGACTGCTGGGAGGCATTCGAATTCGCGCCTTCATCGACACCCTTGTTTACTTCCTTGAGATAACTCTCTACTTGAGCTGGTGGGTATTGTCAGCAAGGCGTTTCCTTTGCTATCCCAACGGGAAAGCAGCACAGGGTATGTATGGGGGTATACGACGCGGGCGCGTATGACGGACAGGCAAATGCTTACCAAGCCGGGCTTCAATCTCCTTCACATTTCGTCGCTTATAGGTTGGCTTCCTGCGTGATTCTGGATATACACATTCACCACCCACTTTGCGGCAGCGCGTGCATGACGGTTTGATTCTGTCACACTTCAGTTTCCTGGACCTGCACATCACACAGGCCAGCGGCTCCGTGGCCGACGAGACACCGGAGCCGGAGGGTTCCGACGGCGGCTCGGGAGACATGGCCGGCAGGTTGTCGGTGATGCCTGACCCGCGATCCGCAATCCGCGGACGATGCGGGAATGCGATGGATGGAATAGGTCGTGGTTTACGGACCACGGAGGATGGCTGAGGTGGGGCTGCGGAGCCGACCGACAACCAAGGTCCAATTTGCCGCAGCACGTTCCGGTGCTACAGGGCAACAGGTTTGAATGTCTGCGCGTGCCTTGAGTGTCTTGGTTTTCCCTCAGCGACGCCTATCTCGTCTGTTGACCGATGGTCGTTATGTCTGGTGTCATCATTTTCAGCGTCATGGTCACTAAAGTGGACTGGGGTACGGCAGTCGCTTACCAATAGCAGCTCATGATCGCTCCTGCCAGTGTCCGAGTTCCCGGCCCCCGATGACTAATGTACATACTAAGAGCTGCACGGAGCGTTTTAGCCCCGACCTCCGAACAAACATTTCACCCATCAAATGAAAACTACCTACTCCGTACTCCGTACCTAGGTAGGTATGCAATTGTGAACACTACTATCAACTGGTTCTGGGCAAAGGGCGTCGAAACCACCATGAATGCGTCTTATTCACCATGGGCTGTATACAACGCAAAGCGTGGAACTGGCATTGGTTGCCCAGAGCCGCTCCTAAGGACACCAAAACCCCCATGGGGGTGGGCGAACGTCAGCGAGAACCGCAAAGAATTGACTCAGTGCCGCTCGGTTCTTTGAGTAATAGAGTTTGTGCTATTGATTTTGACACCTTGGCTGGGGCATGTCACTGTGGCAAAATCCCGAGTTTCAGAGAACAAAACTTAGAGCCCACTGATGAAGGGTCAGAAACCTTCTATGCTTGCGTTCTCGCCTCCACACTCCGGCTCGTGACTCTGTATGCCCGCCCAGCCTTGCAATAGAACTAGTCAAACGCAGGGGCATCATGAATCCGGATGGCGAGTAGCCGTATGTATGTATCCACATGACAGTGCATGCAGCGTTGAAGACCGCGCTGAGGCATTTGCATTGGAAGGCCTCTCCATCGTTAGTGCGCGCCGATCACTCGTCCCAAAAAAGAGGAATATCGACCTTCATTCCTATGTTGCGTCCAATGTGGCGACTTCGACCTTGTAGAATGAAGGGATTTCGTCCCGTGCGGTCAGCAATGTCACCCGTTGATATGCACGTCATATCCATTGATCCGCTTATCAGTCTGTTGTGATGTGAAAGCCTAATTTTCATTAATATCAGATGTAGGTACGTAGTAAGCAGGGGCACGATTATTGTTTCAATTTTGTCAACCTTGTACGGACAAGGAAGAGTGGGTGGCCAACAAACACTTGCATGTAGTGATCTGGCAGGGCAAGATATGCTCTGTTTTCCGACGGCCCTGATAGCAAAGAAGAGCTGCACTCACCCTGACATGCATGTGTCCTGATTGTTTGTTCTTATAAACTTAAACGGCATATGTAAATTTTGTCAGCTTATAACTGTATTTTTTCTATATACATGTCAGTTTTCATAGATGTGCTAATGGTACTATCTAGATGAATATCAATTGATTGTCTAATGCGCCAGAGAAATTAGTCCATACTCTCTTGCCAGTATCTATACGACTGGCTTGAAGCCTTACGGAAAAGAAACGGAGACAGGAAGTAAACCTAACCGTCGTGAGTGAGAGCCTTTTAAAAAAAGTTACGTTTGGACTGTCGATATATCGGCCAGCATGTTGCCAAAGGCCACTGTAATAAAATCTATTATAAGGCCCCGAAGGAAAACGGCAAGGTCAACAATTTCCCCCGAAGCTACTGTCAGCAGGATAGTACTATGGTTGAAGGAACGACCAAACAAGCCAGGACTAGGATTGAACACAGCAATCCGTTGTTATATTGCAACCAAAACTGAGCGTCAATGCCAGGGACTCCTGACCGGTGCTTTCGCAGCAAGGAGAAAGGCTATGGGCGCCGCGCGCAACCTGCAAAGTGTTGAATTTGAATTTGGCGGGTGACCACAATGCATGTGAGTACAGCCGCTTCTGCCCTTCACAAACGAACGCCGTGTCTGGGGAGCATGATTCAGGCTCTATCCATCATTACAAGTTTCAGCGAGCTCCGAGGAAAACTGAGGTTTGGTTTTTATTAAGATATAGTGTAGCCATAGGCCCCGTGAGACTAGCTAGGTATGAATAGTCTGTGATGTGCTTTGAAGACCAAGGTCCGGAACACGGTCTCGTCATAGCCCCAGGATGGTGGATCGTCGCGGCAGAATTGGCAACTCATCTGGGAGAGCATGACTGCGTCTGCCCGTGCGGCGAACACGGTTGCTGTTGTGAGGACGAGATGATACCCTCGAAAGAACCGTTACTAGGAGGTTTTTGTCGTCGGTCTTCGGCTAATGACAATTTGTCTGGCAAAGCGTACTCGGTAGAGTATGCGGGGAGTTCGCTCATGGTGGCTAGTATGTGTTGCGGCTGGGCCAGGACCAGCAGGCGAGCGCAAGAAGCCCCATTTCCGACATGAATACATCGGCCGGGTCGAGTGGGCGTGAGCTGAGCGGCGATCAATTTTAGTCCATTGCTCCGTACAGGTTTCTCTTATCTCTTCCGCCTGAGCAGACGTTCTGAATCCACCACCTTGTCCCTGGCCCTATCCCTTGGTCCGGTATTGGCCAGTTGGCGCCAGGCGCTAAAGTGATTGTCAAGGATGTCATTAGCCGACGGACGCCAGCTCGGACCCCGGTGGTGATCTTGTGACACGCGGAGTACTCTAGTCTGTACAACAAGAGGGAGCGACAAGTGTGGCTTGAATCGAAACGGTTAGACCGATGCCGCTGGTCCGATGACGAATCAGCCGCCCGGCACCGGCACCACGTGCTTGGAATGATAAGGTTGAATAAATATGTCGTACATGGCGTTAGCATTTTCCAACCGTCGCTTGGCAGGTTGCTTTGACTTTGCCCAAGAGGATGCGCAGAAGAGTTCATCCGGGGGCAAATTCCTGTTGGCTCACATGCCTTGGCTGTGCAAGTGTGGCTTGCGTTTCAGAGACGAGGTTAAAGCTAAACATAGACAAGCCAGGTACTTGGTGCGTGGCTTTGGCCTCGTGGGCGCCACACTTGGTTAGTTGTCAACGGCTAACCTGGCAGGCAAGGGTGGGCGGCTGCTGCAGCTGTCTATTTCGGAGTACTGCATCGGAAGTTCCGAACAGGACATGGACAATTTTGCCAAAGGGGGTCAAGTCACCCACAGAAATAGACACTTGATTGCTGTCCTGCCAGCATATCAAGGGTGGTGAGACAGACGGGGAGATATTGTAGTTTAATACTGCGTGTGCTGAAAATGACAATATCACGGGGGCGATGAAGGATCGCAAACGTTTGAAGCTTTGTACGGAGTACTTGGCATAGCATGGTGGTCATGCTCGAGGTTTGATGGTTTGACGGTTTGTTAGAGTTCGGCGTGCTACTCCGTACATTGGCGCTCTGCTCCTGCTTCCGCGCCGCCAGCCCTGGTCCCCTGTCGTCGCTTCCCTTGGCAAATGGCATCATCGGCCCATGTTAAGTAAGCCCTTACCAATCGACCAACTTGCCTGAGGAAGGCGGGACCGGAGCCCGGATTCGAAGTACAAATCAGTCACGCAGGTTCCAGCAGTAACAAAGTACTCGACGCTTTTGCATCATTCAACAGCAGCCATCTTCAATTCTGATGTCTGGGCCCAAGTCCTTCCAAGCCACCTCTTCTTCATCGTCCTCCAGATGCCCACATGGAACTGGCCCGACATCCGTCCTGTCATCTAAGACAGTCCGCCTTTGCTCCGTATTCCCAGGACCGGGGCCATGCGTGAGGCGTCCTGGGCGCTCTCCGTGCTCCATTAATAAATATTCCTTGCCTGTCAAACATTGCTCCGTATCCTACAATACAACAACACGTATGTATGTACACATGTGCAATGCCCCGTTAAGAGGAGTCTGTGGCTGACAGCGAAAGACTAGCGCACGTGTGCGCTGGCCGGTATTTACTACTGTAAAGTCCGTCCGCCGTGGATTCATGGCGGCCCTCGAACCCCCGAACCTCCACTTTCCAGTGACAGTCTGCAGTCCGATGATGCCAAGGGTGCCAGCAATCCGACTTCTGGCGAGTGAAACAAGCGCTCCACGCTCAGCACCCTGCCGTGCATGATGGTGATGTCTTGGCTGTTGGGGGCCAGATTGTCGGCCTCCCCTGTCGGGCTGATGATTGCATTGAGCAGCGCGGCGCACTTGCTAATAGCTCGTGCGTCCTGCGTTAGCAAACAGCCACTCACGGCCTCGTCTGTGCCCTTCGAGAAAAATTGAGTTTGTTAGCCCTGGCCGGTGCAGCGGATTTGACACCTGCCCTCCACAACCAAGGCATGGAAGCTTGGGCCAAGGGCATGCAAAGCCGCTACGTTTACGTTCACCCCTCCCGTGCATTTCCTTCTACCTCCTCCACGCCTCCTCAAATCGAGCATGGATCGGTGTCGGCGTCAAATCATATCTTGACATGTCGTGTATTGGAAATCGGTGTTTTCTTTTGGCTCCCCGTCGTTCGCGAGACAGGCTGAGGCTGTTCGGCTTATAATCATATATTACACGATCTGGATACTTCCGCTGGTCGCCCTCGGCACCCGACTTATTCAACATCCTACACCGATGCACGAGCCTACGCAACGGCACACCTTTCGACCGTCAAAACCTAGATAATCCGGCCATGTCCTGGCATGGAAATATGGAGTAATGGGAATCTTATGAGTCTTGCCTCTCCTACATCATCCCAGTGTTGCTAGACCAGCCGCCGCCTTCTTGTCGTGGCATCTTGCCACACATGGTTTGTTATTCGGGCAGTCGTCGGTCTGTCACCCAGATCTAGTCTCCCCACATGGGGAGAATGTTTGTTCCCGCCAATGTGGCAAGCTCCGTTATCCCTATGTACTGTACCTGGCATCCACTCAACTCGGCGCAGATCTGGGCTCAACTGACAGGAAATTGTCACTTCCAAGGCATACATACCTTCCCCA